TTCATTAAGTAATTAATACCTGACAATTTGTGCTCGAATGGATGGCACGAGCTGTTAGGTATTATGATGTCTGTTTGTGTGGGTTTTCTATATATTTCGAATTGCAAGCTATCTTCATTACGATGTATTGTTATATCTAGAAAGTTAATAGATTCTTCTTGTTCTCTTTCAATTGTGAACTTTATAGTTGGTTGCAATTCGTTAATTTCTTTGAGTGTATGTTCTATGTTCGTTATTTTTTCATCATATATTATTAATATGTCATCGACATATCTAAAGTATGCCACTATTTGTTGTTTTACTAGAATGGGAAATATTTGAGTGTGTTCCATATATTGTATATATGTTTCTGCTATTATTGCCGATGTTGGGGCTCCCATAGCTAGACCATCTGTTTGTTTGTAGTAATTTTGGTCAATTTGAAAGCAACACTTCATAATTTCCATGTCAGATACTGAGCTACTTGAACCTGAAACTAAACAGACAATACAGAGGATGACGCATAATATTAATGAGTGCTTTTCTTTTGTGATTTATTTTATGCGTTCGTATCTAGATTATATGGTGTTGAATGGTAAGATGGTTGGTGAATAGTGAACAGGAAAGGATCTGAAAGGAAGGGTCGTAGCCTAAATGAGGTACCATCCTGGCATTTGCTTTCAAGGACTGAGAAAAATCACAATAACCTCACTTAGGATGGCCTGGGTCCTGGTCAAGATTTGAACCAAGAACCTCCAAAGTACAAAACAAGAGTATTCTTAAAATACCACCCTGCTCAGTACGAAGATTAAAATGGGATCAAAGAAAGATGCAATGGAGAGACGTTACAAAGGAATTACAGAGAAAGAAATCTGGCATGACAGAAACAGATGGAGACGATTTTTTGCAAAACTACCCTAAAAAATTGCATGTCAAAATTTAGCTAACCCCTGTCTAACAAAGGAGTTAGGTTCTTTGAGAATGGTGCAGTAGGTAAATCCATGGACAAACACAGTACCTCATGGGTTAAATGAGGATATATGAATGCCTGCATATAGTTTCTCACGAATACCTACATACATAGACTTTTTATACATGCAATGAATGGCCTTGCTTATACTGCAGTAAGTTACCAAAAGCTCCATAGCTTATATTGCATGCACTATAACTACTTCGTCTATATGCTGCACGATCAATGAGGTGTCAGGAGGTAAAACAATTTCCTTGACATTAGGATAAGTGAATTTCAGTGTTTCAGAGTCATGGCCAGGGTCAGACTGTATATTCAAGTTTTCCACATTCAGCAAACAATTGTTTACACCTTTTACCAAAATGATTGATTCAGTTTTGAAGTTGATTACGATCGTATATCCACAAGTATGTTGTACAGAATTGCAAAAAATAGTAGAAATGAAAGAGTGACTCCACAAGTTTACAACACATGCATGCACCCTTGGTCACATGGCACACATCCAGATGGTAGTCTAATTCTTGCCACACTTTGATCAGTATGTTTGGCGTGATGGGCTTAACAGTCATGGTGATCCTGCTCTGCAAATGAGGTATGCCCACAGGTAGCAGTGCATAAAGAATTTGTCCTTCATGTAATCCCAAAGGAAGTAGTCACATGGGGTTAGGTCAGGGGACCGTGCAGGCCAAGGACAGAAAATCAAGTTCCCACGATCACACTGTCCAATCCATCTATACAGAAGAACGTCACCCAACCAGTGATGAACGCCTCAACGAAAAATAGGGGGAGACCCATCCTGCTGCCAAATGAAGTCCTCTGGTTCATCTTCATGCAGTTTACAGAAGAACCATGCCTGAAGCTCCAATCACTTTGGTACACACTACATAAACAAATGTTAACAAATGTGTGTCTGACAAGAGTCTAATGTACTTATTTAGTGCTATGTTACTTTACCTTACACAGTGCAGCATTCATTGGTAGACTCAGTTCTTTCACAATTGGTTCAAAATCATCCCGCGACCCCTTGCGCTTAAGCAGCTGATCAAATGAACTTGTGAGTGAACGTTTGGCCTTCATGAAGATGGTACTCCCACCCAGGTACTGATTGAGGAACTCGCTGCGGTTCTCAGCTGTGTCATGTGTGTGGCGAGCCTGTTTTCCTTCACAGTGTGCTCGCAGTAGCATCATGAGAAACTCATTCTGCTCACGCAGACTCGAGGTCTCCACTCCTCGGAATTTGGTTAATATCACAGATTGTTCCTCTTCTGGCAACACCTCAAGTCGACGAAAAATAATGTTTTGTGTGCGCTTATCGTTCAAACCTGAAATACATCCCAAAACCTGGTTCTGAGAAGTTCTTTACCCTTATGATAAAGTGGACATGTACAAAACTGCCATTAATGGACTAAAACTTTGCAATCAGACTCATTTGCTTAATGTTTCTTATTATTCTACTATGGCAAAGACACGTTTACTACATGCCTAAGCTCTATGTCAACTTCCTGGAGACCTGGTGTACTCCAGAACCAGCGTGGATGTGGTGGAGATAGTAAAAATCCGTGTCACTGTTCAGAATTGAACCATGGTCACCTTGCTCACAGCCAGTCACTGTGCTGAATGACATATTGCAGCTCATATTTCCTTTTGTGGTGTACTTTATGACATCAGTTTCCAGATTATATGAGTACATCATCAAATTGCAGGACAATTGATGAATGATGAATTGAATGAATTTAGAAGGAAGCAGTCACAGCCTAATTGGGATACTACCCCAGAGTTTGCCAAGTAGGACTGAGGAAAAGCACAGAAAAACTTGCCCAGAGCCAACCGAGTGGAAGGTTGGCCATAGCACCGACAGGTAAGGGAGATGGAAAACTGCTATATGTCCAGTGTTGCTAAGCGAAGTTAGATACGGGCTGTTCATCAATATTAGTGAACGCTGCTAGGCAAGGTCAGTTTAGATTAGCAGAAGAGGTAGAACACAAAAGTAAGGTTATTCTAGTTGGAGTGTTAGAAACTAGAACAGTGAAGATTAAACAGTAAAGTGGAGCATGGGCAAATCTGTAAACATGTAATCAAATGAAGAGTAAGTTTAAGCATCACATCTCATCATTCTAGAACCTTACTCCTATCCCCTACACATTTGAAAGAAAAGACAGAGGAAAAGTACTAGAGGACAGTAGGAATATTAAGATAACATTAATTAGCATAGTTCTAAGCAACTTGGTGACAGCCTACTGAACAAGAGAAAAGCTCGGATAGTAGCAGCAAAATAGGGATTTGGGTTTCAGAGACTTGTGAGCGGCTGTGGTATAATAAGGGGTAGCATTAGGCTACGTTGCTACAGGCTACTGTCCTTTCCACAGATGATTTTGATCAGTCTACCACAACATGGACGATTCATAACTTGCACAAAATTCCTGCAGAATGCCTTAATCCCAAATTCTCTGAGAATCTGGATGAATACACTGGTGGGCGAATCCTCAGAAGAAATGTGTTGGGGTTTAAATGGTTGAAAAGTGAACATAATCAGACTTCAGAACATTAGGCAGTCAGCAGTTATGTTGGTTCCCAGAGCAGAACACACAGTTGGTACGGTGCTTCTTCGAACAGACTGAAACGTCCTGCTTAAAATGGAAGAAACTAATAACAGTGCATGCTGAAAGAGAAGTATACTTTATTTCGAATGTGTTTCTAACATGAAAACATAGCTAAAAAGGTGATTATCACTATTAAAGGTAAAGTTGTCCCTGTACTTAATTAATTAAGCACTATGCCATGAAGACACATGGGGGAGTGGAGGTATGGCTCCAACTTTCTTGATCTTTGTACTACATGGTGCTGAGTGAGCAGCTTCACAAGGAGAGTATTTTAAAGATGACAGCAGCTGCTAATGCACTGGTAAACAAATTTTGCTTTCACAGGGCCATTCTGGGAATTAAATTGTCGCACCTTGTACTACATATAGAATGTAACAAAACTCAACGGCAAAACTTCAGAATCAGACTCCTCATATAGAGAGAAGAAAAAAGTGTATGACATGGTTCCAGAAATGAATAATTACAGAGTTATCCGACCTTTTAGCAACGTTAGTGCAATCAGACACTCCGAACACTGTTACTCTGAATATGTCGTAATGCCAGCTGGAACACTCTGGTCACATATCAGATGAAATGTTCAAAGTGACCTCCTCCTGCCCGAATACAGGCCTCCGCTCATCACATTGAGTGCCGCACACAATCAAAAATGCCTGGTGTAGTGTGTACTGTCTGACAGGCTCAATATTTTGCTTCAGGTAAAGAATGCTTCAATATTGATCTAACTACCTACTATAAATAAATGCTCTTTACACCCTCACCTTCTGCATCAGCACACAGTTTGTGGTACCATACCATGGGACAGTGTTCACAGGTCAACACTGGCAGCTTCTCACGCCGCTGTGTGTCGGATGTGGCGAGAAATGCTTGTCTTATGGCTGTGGAAGCACATGAAAGAGTTGACATCAGTCACAGTAATGATATGACTCAATCATGACACACCAAATCCTCAGAGAGCATATACCATAAAGTTCATCTGCTAATGCTTAAATGCAGAGGGAACCCAACAAACCTACTTCCATCCTCTGGAACAAAAGGAGGCCAAAAACTGTTTTTCTGACAAAAATAGTTACAAAAGAAAGATCTGGTGCCAGTGGTAATGCTAATTCATAGATCAAAGGAAAATGTTTTTTGTTAATTTATATTTCAAAACACCACCCCAAATGAATTCCGAGATATGCCGTTGCATAGACGGCGTGCATGCATCAAATGAATATGTCAAACATCTTACCTGCCACCACATCATCAGCTACGGACTCAGACTGGCACTTTAACACATATCCAATATAGCACTCCACATTCAGCTCTCGGCAGATAAACCCAAAATGGTCTGCATGCTTCAGTCCCTGCAGAAAAGGTTCCATCAAATCACAGTGAGTCTTTATGATCAAATTACTGATGAAGTTGAAGAAATACCAATATCTACCTTAGTGGTGAATTTTGCAGTCTTAAAATAAAAAAATAACGGAGCTTCAGGATCAAATGGACTGAATTCAAACCTCTTAAAAGTAGACGAGTCTTATACACAGACTATGGAAGCTGAGTGAAAAGATATGGAAAGAGGAAATATTTCCCAGTGAGTGGGAGGAAGGGTTAATATGCCCTATATACAAAAAAGATCAAATGATGTGAAACCACTCGTGTGGTATTTCTTTTCCGAACACGGCATATAAAGTGATCACAGTTATACTGTTTCAAAGACTACAATGCATCATGTAGACAAATACTGGAAATTATCAGTGTGGGTGAACGGACAGACACATGGATGGGTTAATGGGTGGGTGGATGGATGGACAGACAGGTTGTATGTTGAATGAAGGAAAGGCACAATTCTGATATCTTGAGAAGTTTGTAAAATTCCTCAGTGTTCTGGAGACAATTACCATCTCTTACTCCCTTCACTATAGCTCAGTCAGCATAGTGACTATGGGATGGACAACCAAGGCTTGATTTCTGCAAGAAAAATCGAGTTTTCTCCTTCCCACTGTGTCTGCACCTGCTTTGGGGCCCACCAAACCTCCTATCCAACGGACACTGGGTTAATGAGTCTGGGATGGGAAACTGACCAATCACCTCTATTTAGTGCAAGGGCTGAGTACGAATGCACTGACTTACATGAAACTTCCAATTTAACAACTCCTGTAACCCAAATATCTCCAGCTCTACCAGAGTATATATTTGAGAAGTCTCATTTTCATCTGTAAATATCTGCATAACTTGCACTATCAATTCATGGCCTCTTTGAGTGAATCACCTTGTATTCTTGTACGGATAGTACACACTCCGAGTTGCCACGTAAGTGCCAACTGCCCCTACGGTATCAATCACTTGGCATCATTGTTATTTCATAATTTCTTTGTGCGAGGAACTGAACAACTGAGCACTCTATGGAACATACTGCATATCCACCAAAGTACATGGCATCCTATCCTAGAAGACTGTAATCTTACTCACCATTATGTGTTTAGTAAATGGACAATGGCATGCACAATCATATCTGACACAGCAGAATTACATTCAAAATCCAGTTCACAACTTCCAGTCCATCAGTACCTGGATACAGCTGGCAACATCCTTCAGGTGTTTGTGCAACAGGATCTGCTTTCGATCAGGACTAATAAGCCTTAGGTCAGTGCGACCAACTTGAAACAGCATTGTGCGATTGTGGTCACTATGGGCCTGAAACAGCAAGATCTCATCTTGAATATACTAACAGTTTCTATATATTAATACTGTGGCGTGTAGACCCATTGATAGGCAGTGAAACTGTAAACATTGACATTGCTAGACAATGCCTGCAATAGATGCAGCCAACAGTAGAGGAACACTGTTTTCTGTGTCTGCAGAAGGACTGTTTCTATGCAATTGGTGCGCTGTGACATCACACAACAGTATGCAGCCGTCATGTGGCATGTTTCCTGCGTGTCCATTAGCTTGTGGATTTGCGGTGACATCACACAGCAATAGTGAATAGGAGTCATGTGATATGTCTAGTGTTGGTCGATGTCAGTCACTCGGTAATATAAGTGAGTGTCATAGTTCAGTTAGGAGCAGTTACAAGTTACGAGAGAGAAATAGTAGCGGCGGAATCACGAGAAGAGATTGAGTTGGAACTAGACGTGACAGTGAGTGTGTGTGACGGTCCTGAGTTCTGAGTTGCAGTAGAATTATAAGAAAGAAAGAGTAGTGGCAGACGCATGCAAACAGAGTGAAGTGGAACCAGTAATACAGAAGAATACAGTAGGTTGGCCTGTGAAGATTTAACGTGTGATTTGAAGACTTTATGTGCACTATATTGCAGTGAGATTGGAAGTGTGCAATTTAGTGAGACTTCTACAGTTCTGTGTTGACATCCGTTGCTAGGAGACGACTAGTGAAGACAGAGAATCCTAATGCATGTGCAATGGTGAACTGGGAAGTGTGTAAATCAGTGACAGCACTGTATTGCCTGTATTTAAGTGTGATTAAGAGAGAGTGTAACCAAGGTGCCAATAAATCCAATCATCCAAACTAAAACCCATCATTCTTGTCATGCGAACCACACTACATGTGACAATACTAATCTTTTTGTAATTCCCAGTCTTTTCTGATTTATGGATCAGTTACAGACAAGCAGATTTTCTAAGAAGGGCTACAGTGCGTGAATGCCTCATCATTCAGTTTTATAAATAAGTTCTGGGAATAAATAACAACACATAATTATCTTTATGTGCTGCCTAAAGTCCATTTAAACTTATAGATTAACACATCTATGTATATCACAGTCCACCAACAACGAAACAAACTGTTCCTTTTTCTTCTACTTACAATTTTAACACAACATGTTTCAGCTCTAGATGACCATTTTCTGGTGTCTTAATATATTAAAACTGCTACACTGCATTAATATGCACTGAAATCACACACTATAGTCAACTTACTATAATAAAATCAAATGAAATAATACCCATTAAAATTTTCTGTTAAAATTTTCATTACTTTTGTGAAATTCTATTCCACCTCACAAGGGGTGCTGTCCATTTGTTTAGAAATATGATGGGGTACCCAAAAGAAACCGAACTAATTTTTTTGTGGGCAGAGCTTTTGTAGTACCGCGTTTTGCCGCTATGAGCGCATAGAGCTAACATTCCTGAGTCGATAAGCCGACTACCGTTGCTTCAGAAGGTAAGGACTAGTTTCGGCAGAGTTTATAGTGACAACTGTTTTGTGTGATCGTCGTTTTTGCAATGGCTCGAACACATGAAAATGTTGAAAAAATTCGTGAAATCATCAAGAAAGATCGACGACGGACCATTGAAGAAATTGTGGAGCTGTCGG